GTTAGGTTGTTTACTTGAGATCTTTCTTGTTTCCTGAGGTGAGATTGAATTGCTATAAACTTCCCTCTTAGAACTGCTTTTGCTGCATCCCATACATTTTGGGTCACTGTGTTGTCATTTTCATTTGTCTCCAGGTATTTTTAAATTTCTTCTTTGATTTCTTCAGTGATCCATTGCCTGCTTAGTATTGTATTATTTATCCTCAACTTTTTAATGTTTTTTGCAGTTTTTTTTCGTGTAGTTGATTTCTGGTCTCATAGCATTGTGATAGGAAAGGGTGATTGATAAAATGTCAATTTTTGTAAATTTACCAAGACTTGTTTTGTGGCCTAGCATGTGATCTATCCTGGAGAATGTTCCATGTGCACTTGAAAAGAATGTGTATTCTGTTGCTTTTGGATGGAGTGTTCTATATATATATCTATTAGATGGGATCTAATGTATCATTTAAGGTCAGTGCTTCCTTATTGATTTTCTGTCTGGATGATCTGTCCATTGATGTAAGTGGGGTGTTAAAATCCCTTACTAAATTTGTTACTGCCATTTTCTCCTTTTGTGTCTGTTAATATTTGCCTTATATATTTAGATGCCCTTATGTTGAGTGCCTATATATTTATAATTGTTATATCATCCTCTTGGATTGATCCTTTGATCATTATATAATGTCCTTCTTTGTCTCTTATAACGGTCTGTGTTTTAAAGCCTATTTTGTCTGATATTAATATTGCTACCCTGGCTTTCTTTTCTTTTCCATTTGCATGGAATACCTTTTCTCAGCCCCTCACTTTCAGTGTGAATGTCTTTAGTGCTGCAGTGAGTCTCTTGTAAAAGCAGAAGATTGGAGCATTTAGTCCATTTACAATTAAAGTAATTATCAATAGATATGTATGCATTGACATTTTGTTAATTGTTTTGGAGTTGTTTTGTAGTTTTTTGTTCCTTTGTTCTTCTTTTCCTCTCTTCCCTGTGATTTGATGACTATCTTCAGTGTTTTGTTTGGATTACTTTCCCTTTGTGTGTGTATCTAATACAAATTTTTGAAATATGGTTACCATGAGGCTTATATACAGCAATGTGTGTGTGTGTGTGTGTGTGTGTGCGTGTATGATTAAGTTGCAGCTCTCTTAAATTTGAACACAGTTTAACAACAGTGCAACTGTATTTTTACCCCCAACCCCCAATCTTTACTTTTTTTGACATCGTATTTTACATCTTTTTGTTTTGTGTATCTCTTAATTACTTATGGTGGATATAGATGATTTTACTTCTTTTGTCTTTTAGCCTTCCTACTGGTTTTATAAGTAGACTTACAACCTTTACTGTATATTTGCCTTTACCAATTAGCTTTTTACTTTCAAAATTTTCCTGTTTTTAGTTGTGATCTTTTCTATTATGCTGAGAGAAGTCCTATTAACATTTCTTGTAAAACTGGTTTGGAGGTGCTGAAGTCATTTAGATTTTGCTTGTCTGTAAAACTTTTGATATCTCCTTCAAATATGAATGATAGCCTTGCCAAGTAGAGTTTTCTTCATTGTAGTTTTTTCCCTTTTATCACTTTAAATGTATTGTGCCACTCCTTTCTGTCCTACAGAGTTTCTGCTGAAGAGTCAGTTGATAGTCTTATGGGAGCTCCCTTGTGTGTAACTTGTTGCTTTTCCCTTGCTGCTTTTAATATTCTCTCTTTATCTTTAATTTTTGCCATTTTAATTTCAGTGTGTCTTTATGTGGTTCTCTTTGCATTTTTCCTGTTTGGGACCCTCTGTGCTTCCTGAACCCTCTGTGTTTCCTTTCCCAGGTTAGGGAAATTTTCAGCTATTATGACTTCAAATATGTTCTCTGTACCTTTTCCTCTTTCTATTCTCCTTCTGGGACCCCTATAATGTGAATTTAGTACACTTGATGTTGTCCAAGGTCTCTTAAAATGTCCTGTATTTTTTAATTCTTTTTTCTTTTTTTGTGCAACTTGAGTGATTTCTACTACTCTGTCTTCCAGTTCACTGATCCATTCCTCTGTATCATCTAATCTATTGTTGATTCCTTCTACTATATTTTTTATTTCAGTTATTATATTCTTCAGCTCTGTTTGGTTCTCCTTTATATTTTCTAACTCTTTGTTAAATCTCACTGTGTCCATTCATTCTTCTCCCAAGTTCTTTTATCATCTTTGTGATCACTACCTTGAATTCTTTATTGGGTAGGTTGCTTATCTCTATTTTCACTTAATTATTCTGGGGTTTAATCTTGGTCCTTCATTTGGAACATATTCCTCAGTCACCTCATTTTACTAATTCACTGTTTTTATTTTTATATATTTGTATGTTGGTTACATTTCCCAATCTTGGAGAAATGACCTTTTGTAGGAGATATCCTATGTCCCAGCAGCACACTCCCCTATCATCACTGGAGCTATATGCTCTAGGGGTGCCCCCATGTGTGCTGTGTGGGCCCTTATGTTGTGGCAGGCTGACTACTATGGGTGGGCTGGTAGGCATGGCTGGCCCTCAGTCCACTTGGCTGCTAGTCCCTGCCTAATGTGGTGTCTGCTCACCACTGGTGGGCACGGCTGGGACACAGGGTGGCTGGTTGTGGAGCCCCAGGAAGTCCAGGGCTAGTTCTGGCCCACTGGTGGTTGGAGCAAGGTCCCAGGGTGGCTGGTTGTGGGACCAGGGGTCCTAGAGTTAGTGTCACCTGCTGAGAAGTGGGACCAGTTCCTGACATGGCTAGCTACAGGGTCTTGGGTGTCCCAAAGCTGGTGTCAGCCCACTGGTGAGTGCAGCTGGATCCCAGAGAGTGTGGCTGAGGGGCCTAAGGTGTCTCAGAGCTGATGTCAGCCTGCTGGTGGGCAGGGCTGGGGCCCAGGTGTTCACAGGGCTAGTGCCAGCCCACTGATGGGCAGAGATCATTCCTGGGGCCTTTGGCTGCAGGTTCTCGTTCCTTGCTAGATTTAATTCTAGCTACCCTCCTGAAAAACTGATCCAGTGATGTCTGGGTAGTAGCCCTTTTTTTTTTCTCATCAGAGATGACACAGTAGTCCTGGATTGCACTCTGAACAGCTGCTGCAGCCTTTGTGTATCAATCTATGTTCAGATCCTGTGCCTCAAAAACTAACAGTGCCTCCTCAAATAAAGAAAATCCCCTTGCCATTTCCTGCATCATGAAACTCTTCAGTTCTTCAGTTACTTCTTCTTCGTCTTGTTGCTCCACTCTCTCAATTATTTTCACTTTTCTTTCCATCATTATCGCTTGGTGCTTCTTAGTACCAGATACATCACTGCTGCTTTTATGCTTGCTTCCGGATATCCTGGGCTTGAAATGAAGATACTGTACTACTGTATTCTATACAGTATGTACAATAAAGTACACAAAAGCACAACCACTTGTAGAGGATGCAAGCACATGACAATGTATGCCAAACACATGAACTAACTTAGGTGACTGGACATGCAAAAGCATGTTCATGTCTTTGAAAGTTCACAACTTGAATGTTCGTATGTAGGGGACTTTCTGTACATCAAAATTTAAAACTGTGCATCCAAGGAAACAATCAATAGAATGTGAGAAGATATTTGTGAATCAAATAACTGATAAGGGTTTAATACCTAGAATATATAAATCAATCCTACAACTCAAGAACAAAAAGACAAACATCCCAATTTAAAAATGGGCAAAGGACTTAACTAGACATTTCTCCACAGATGATATACAAATGGCCAACAAGCATATGGGAAGATGCTCAACATCATTAATCATAAGAGAAATGCAAATTAAAACCACAGTGAGTTATCACCTCATACCAATTTGACGGTTACTATTGCAAAATAGAAAATAATGTGTTGGTGAGGATGTGGAAAATTGCAATCCGTGTATACTGTTGTGAGATTGTAAAAATTGTGCATCTGTTGTGGAAACAGTATGGTGGCTCCTCAAAATATTAAAACTAGAAATACCATATGATCCAGCAATCCTGCTACTGGGTATATATCCAAAAGAATTAAAAACAAGGTCTCAAAGAGATATTAGTACACCCATGTTCATAGCAATATTCATCATAGCCAAGTGGAAGAAGCCCAAGTGTCCATTCATGCATGAATAGATAAACTAAATGTTTTATATACATGCAATGGAATATTATTCAGCCTGAAAAAAAGAATGAAATTCTGACACATGTTACAACATGGATGAACCTCAAAAACCTGTGCTATGTGAAATAAGCCAAAAACAATTTTTATATGATTTGGGACATATGTTCCGAGGCAGCAGCAGCTCCTGCAAGGTCTCACCTCAGTGCCTGGAGAATGCCTCTGTATTCCAAGGCACAAAGCCACACTTTCTCTGGATCTTTCTTTGACTCTTTACATACAGGACCCATTTTTCTTTCCATTGTTTTGGAGGATGGCATGAACTTTAACTGAAGGCTTGTCTGTGATTGTCGTATTACTTCTGATCTTGTTTGTGTCTTCCACTGACCTGGAACTCATCGAGGACAGGGATTTAGACTTTCTTCTGTGACTCTCTAGGGACCTGATGGTGCTGTCAAATTTAGTAGTCACTAGGTCCATGTGACTACTGAGCACTTGAAATATGGCCACTCCGAATAGTGAGTGATGTAAGGGAGAAATAATCCCTGTATTCTAAGACATACTTTGAAAAATGAATGTAAAGTATTTGAATGTTTTATGTTTATTACATCTTTAAGTGATATTATTTTGAATATATTGATTAAAATGCATTATTAAAATTAATTTGAGCTGTTTCCTTCTGCTCTTTTAACGTGGCTCCTATAATATTTGAATTTTATATTGACTTGTAATATATTTCTGCTGCAATGTTAGTCAAGGGTATATAGTAGATGCAGAACTGATGAACTGGCTGATGCCAGGTAAAATGAATTTCCCCATTTGGATTCTGTTGATGGCCAAAAGAGGAGTCTCCCAGTCACCACTGCCAGCCCCTGGGAATCCTGTGGGGATTCATTTACCAGATTTTCTCTCCCTTCCCAGGATACCATGTATCAGAAGGTGGAGAAAACTGTATATCCTGTACAAATGGAGTGGACTTTACTAATCACTGGAACATGCTCCCTTCCTGCTTACCATGTACAATCTGTAAATCAGGTACAGAACATGGGGACCCATAACAAGTGCAGGCATGATGAGGTGGGAATTGTATCCAACATGGAATCAGGACATCTGGATTCCAATTCCAGTCCTTCTTGCCCTCCAGTCCTTCATCATGCCCTGTTTTATGATTATGTCTTAGGCCAATACAAAAAATAGAAATTGCATGCCACATAGTATGTAAATCTTTTAAATCATCAGATGAAGGTGGTGGGAAAGTAATCTGTCCTTTGATGGGGGAGAGGGATGGGATATGTATAGTTACAGCATAAGAAAAGGCCTGGCCAAGTGGAAAAGTGCTAGGTTTGAGCTTTGACGTGGGTCTAGTCCTGGGCCAGGCCCCTCTTAGCCCTGTGCTCTGTGCTCCTGGCAGAGACTTGGCCTCTCTCAGCCTTTACAACTTAGGGCCCCCCTACCTCTCCAGCAGGGCTAGGTTTTGGGAAGTCACCCAAGGGTTCCTCTCCATCTAGGGTCTCTCAGATTATACCCGGCCCTCCCTACTGACCCTGTGAGCTATAAGATTTCCCTCCTTGTCCTAATGCATTAAATAATGAATCATGGTCCTTTTCTCACACCTCTGAGTACTGGTGACAGGTGAACAGGGGTTGTCCTTTATGTGCCCCACATGTGTTGCTGCAGAATTTGACCCCCAAAGCTACAGTGAACTGAGGAGAGCTGAGTGGGTGGGTTTTTGGTTGGTGAAGAAGGGTCGAGGGTCAGGCGAGGGAAACACATCCCCAAACCTTATCCTTTGTCTTCAGGTGAAGAAGAGAGGAGCCCTTGCACGGCGACTAAGGACACACAGTGTCAGTGCAAACCTGGAACTTTCCATGAAGAAGACTCACCCGAGTTCTGCCAGAAGTGCAGCACTGGGTGAGACGTGGGAGCCTAGGTGGTTCCCGACAGCTCAAGGGAAATACTACAGAGCCCCGCTTCCACCCCAGGGCTTCCCTGTGCTGCTGGGGTCTCCTGAGCCTGCAGCAGCCCCTCCCCATCCATCTGCATGTCCCTGCACTGCCCCCTGCATCTTCCCACACCTCCTTAGCACCGCTTCCCTTTGGCCAGGTCGGCTTTTCTATTGGACACAACAGGCCACTGATTAGGATCCATGATGCAGTCAATAGAAGTTTTCATTTCTTTCAAAAAGATATCAGAGGGCAAAAAATGAGTAGAATGCAGCTGGGCTTATATTCATCTTTATAACAATTCAGTCATAAAATAGAATCTTTAATATTTTTTATGCAGGAAAGGGCCCATGAATACAAAAGTGCCCACAGCCAAGTCATAATAAGATTGAGCATGTAGCTCCTTTAAGGTTTCCTTTAAAGCCCTGAGCCAACTCCAGCTGACCTCACATCCAGCCCTCATTCCCTCAATAAGAGGGAATGAATCTTTCCTATTTAGGGACTTAGGGGCCAATAGTAATTTGCTCTCCTCTGATGCTCCAGTGTTGGCTGAGATTTGGATGAAGAGTCAACAGGTGGAGGACAAGAGGATCCTTGTATTAAAGCTTGACTGGAGGATGAGGCTTGGCTTGTGCCCAAACCCACCTGACCCTTGACTTGGGTGAGATTCCCCCTCACACAGGCTTCCCCTGCAGCCCAGGGAGGCCAGTGCAGGCCTTGCAGAGAAGGTCCAGCTCCTCAAGGGGCAGCTCTGAACACTCAGCAGGAGCCCTGGGGGCTGGAGTGCACAAGCCCAGATCCTTCTCCCCGAAAAGGGGGACTGAAGGGACCCTGCCCTGAAGACAGTAGGAGCCCGTCCCTCCTGCACTGTCTTGTCGCGGAACACTGGGTGAGAGATTGTTCCCTCTTTCTCCTCATCTGGCCAGCTTTCCCTGACGGATCCCCTCCATGTCCTCCCTGTGTCTGTACCCAGGTGCCCTGATGGGATGGTTGTGGCCAAGCCCTGTAACCCCATCAGTGACCTCAAATGTGTGGACCAAAAATCAGATACCCAGGCCAGTGGGGAGGCCCTGGTTCCTGGAAAGACAGTGACCATGAGCTGGAGACTGCCCACCACTCCCTCTCCTTCCTCGGGCAATTCACAGCTGGAGATCGGAATTGTAACTGCTGGTGTCTTCCTGCTGCTGGTGCCGATTGCCTATGTTTTCTGGCGGTTCTTCATTCAAGGTGAGGTTTTGGGAGGGAAGGGGGAGGTGCTGGCCCCCTCCTCCATCTCCCCAATCCTCCTGGCTTGGCTCTGATCTTGTTCCCCGGGATCCCCCTCCACCTCCCACCTCACCTGCTCCTACGAAGCCGGGATCACATGAGTCCCCCAGCTCAGCTGATGGTCCCCTCTTCCCCCTGGCCAAGTATGGTGGGTGGGGAGCAGGGTCAGTTCTTAATGTCTTTAGGACCCCCAGCCAGGGCAGAGAGGTGGTCAGCACCTTGACTGGGTGACAAGAGTCAGGGGAGAGGGTCGTTCAGCAGAACCCCACAGAGATTTTACATAGATTTCATCTTCCCCCTTCTCTTCTCCCTCCCTGAGGGTTCTCCAGATTTGGAATGGCCCGCTCCCTGTCACCAGCCCCGGGGCTCCTTGTTCAGTGTCTGAGCCCCCAGCCCACACCCTGTCCCTGGCACTGTCCCTGGGGAGGGAGGTGCTGCAAGAGGGCGCTCCCCACTGCTCAGGTGGATGCCTCTTCTCTTCTAGGTTACGGTGTGGACCCTAAGTGCATGGACAGGGTGAGTTGGTTTCTCCAGGACCTGGTGGCATCAGGCCCTCAGTAACTGCTTCCCACCCACGAGAAGGGCCTGGGTGGACACAGTCCCCAATTTGTCCTATACTGTTGTCCCTGGCTCTCTCAAGTGGCCTGAGGGCTCTGGGCTGACAGTAGGAGAGCAACTGGCCTGTTGAGAGTAGCTCTAAGGCTGGTTGGCAGTGCTAGCCCTGTCCCTCTTACTGCTTGTGAGACACCCTCACCCCATAACCCTGGATGCACCCTGGGGCATGGGGGGTGTCAGGCAAGGGTGCTGAACCCCCCTTAGCACAGCACTAGGGTCCTGGTGCCACCAGCAGAACCATGGATGTGTTGAGTCTGTGCCTACCTCAGGGGGGACAAACGGGAGTAGGTGCGGAGGCAGAACCTACCGTGTTCCCCCAGATGCTGCAGGGATCTGTGGGTATGGACTCTTGAATCAGCTCCTTGCCTTCCCAAGGTCTTTTTCTGCTGCTCATGTCCCCCAAGAGGTCCTGGGGCTCTGGACAATGCCCATAACAACATGCTGATCAACAGAGATTTGCTGTCCATTCTGGTGGCCAAGAAGGACCTAGAAGACCAGGAGCAGGGCAAGCTGACAGGTGTCATGGTACAGTCTCTGGTGGAAGCAAAGCATTTACTGGTGAGTGTGTGGTGAGCTTTCTTCTTGCCCAGGACTGAAGTAGAAACAGGGAAAGACCAATGTTGGTCAGGTCTCCTGTCTCATGATGAAGTGGTGATAGAGGGATATCAGGGTCCTGAAGGGGAAATGAACCTGCTACCCTGATATGGTAGACTGTCAGCTCTATGCAATATTGTGCTGTTTATTATCTATCCAGTTCTCACTGTTTCCTCAGTCTAGAACAAGGAGGCACAGAGTGGGCTCTCCCATATTTGTTGAATGATTGAATGAGGGCTGCATAATCTTCCACTGCATAGTTGTAATATAATATAGTAAGCCATTCCTCGTAATAATAGGAATATCAAATTTGTTACAAAATAATTATTACACTGAACATAAATGAAAATAAGTCTTAGTCCTGATAGCTGAGCATATTTGTATAGTGGCTTCTTAGAAGAAGTAGAATTTTGGGGTCAACTTGTAGAAGTGCTTTCCTACTGTCTACACATACATGCACATCCAGTTTGGGTTCATATCTGTTCATCAGTTTTGACATTGAATAGTCAACCTGTGCAAATATTTCTCATTCTTCATAAGGTTGGAAAGTCATTCCCCACAACATAAGATGAAATTCTTTAATTTCTTAGAGTTTTTAAATTTAATGATGATTGTTAGCATTTAACAATTTTATCTAACTGGGATTTATTTTGTGATATGATATGATGTGAGGAGCTCCCTGAATTCTGAGTCACTGTCTCCTTCCTATAACCCTATTTAGCAACTGCTTCTCCCACTTCCCTCTGTTTTTGGCCTCTCCTTTATCACATGTGAAATATTTACATGGACAATGATCTCTTTCCATCTAGAGTGTTCTTTTTGGGGTTTTTTCCTGCATTGACAGTTGACCCGTGAACAAAGCTGGGGATAGGGACACAGACCCTCCAAAATCCACATGTCTGTGGCTCTGCATCCTCAGGTTCAACCGTGTATCATATAGTACTGTAGTGCATATATAGTGAAAAAAAATCCACATGTAAATGGACTTGTGCAGTTCAAACCCTTGTTGTTCAGGGGTCAACTATATACTGCATTCTTTTTAAAGAGAAAGTATAAAAGGAAGCAAACAAACAAAAAAGACAAATAATCCCCCCATCCTGATTAATCACTTTTCACATTTTTTCACAGTAGTTAATACATATCCACAGTGAGAAAATTTAAACAGTAAAGAAAGTTTCTCAGTGAGTCATGAAAGCCTCATCCTATAATCTTTCTCCAGCCACTTAGTTCTTTTTATTTCAGGTAACTATGAGGTATAATTTTCTCTGAATCTTTGCTGAAATCGTTATGCATGTCATCTATATATTATACAAACAAAACTGTTTAATATGTTTTAATATCTGAGAGAGCAATACCTCTTACTTTTTCAAAATTTATTGTTTACCCAGATAAAATTTAGAATTTTTTTTTTTTTGCGGTACATGGGCCTCTCACTGTTGTGGCCTCTCCCGTTGCGGAGCACAGGCTCTGGACGCGCAGGCTCAACAGCCATTGCTCACGGGCCCAGCTGCTCTGCGGCATGTGGGATCTTCCCGGACTGGGGCATGAACCCTTGTCTCCTGCATCGGCAGGCGGACTCTCAACCACTGTGCCACCAGGGAAGCCCTAGAATTATTTTATAAGATAACCTCCACACCTAAAAAAATTATTGAAATATTTTGTATTACCTTAAACTCATAAATTAATCTAGGAAGAATTAAGATCTTGTTAATATTCAATATTGCTCTTATCAAAGAAGATAACATTGAGAGATTAAACATAATGGTGGAGTAGAAAGACACTGAGCTCACCTCCTCTCACAGGCACACCAAAATTATAACTATTTACAGAGGAACTATTGGTGAGAAATACCAGAATCTACCAGAAAATATCTTCTAGAACTAATGATATAAAGAAGGAAGCACAAGATGGCTGAGACATAGTACAGTAAAAACCCATATTGCCGGGTGATCAACCCACATTTGGGAGGCTAATTACATTTGCAGAGGTTCTGCCCAAGGAGCAAGGAATCTGAGCCCAACATCAGGCTCCCCAGCCCAGGAGTTCTGCACCAGGAAGACAAGCCCCTAGAACATTTGGCTTTAAGGCCAGTGGGGCTTACTTTCAGAAGACCCAGAGGGCTGTGGGATATAGAAACTGCATCTTAAAGGGTGCACATAAAATCTCACAACCACTGGGACCCAGGGAAGAGCAGAAATTTGAAAGAAGTCTGGGTCAGACCTACCTGCTGATTTTGGAGAGTCCCGGGGAGGCAAGAGGCAACTGGATCTCATCCTAGGGATGCTGACACTGCTGGTAGTAATTTGGGGGAGTTCATTCTACCACATGGACTCTGGTGCTGGCAAGCACCATTTTGGAATTCTCCCTCTAGCTTATTAGCCTTGGGATCCAGCCCTACCCCTACCCACCAGCCTATAGGCACCAGCACTTGCATGCCTCAGGCCAAGCACCTAGGCAAGCAGGGACACAGCCCCACCCACCAGCAGGCAGCCTGACTTAAGACCACCTGAGCCGACAGTTGCCCCTGGACATCCTTGTCCACCAGTGGGCCCGGGACCCAGCCCTGCACACCAGTGTGCAGGCACTAGTCCCAGGAAATCATAGGGCCCTGCAGCCAGAGACCCAGCTCTACCCACCAGTGGGCAGACACCAGCCCCAGGATCTACTGGGCAGCAGCCCCAGGAACACTGCAGCCCCTCAGCTGCCTTGTCAGGACCCAGCCAATACATCAGCAGGCTGGCATCAGCTCTGGGACCCCACTGGGCTCCAGCCATGCACAACAGCAGGCCAACTATAGGCCAAGGGGACACCTTGAGCCCCTCAGCCAGTGGCCCCAGGATCCAATCCCACCCACTAGTGGGCTGACACCAGCTTCGGGACACCCATAGCTCTGCATCCAGAGATCTCAGGATCTGGTTCTGCATACCGGTGACTGGCACTAGCCCTGATAACCCCTGAGGGGGATCACATCAACATACATTGTAATTAAAACAGCAAAAATTAAAGATAAAGAGAGAATATTAAAACCACAAGGAAAGACAACAAGAAACATACAAGGGAACTCCCATAAGGCCATGAGCTGACTTTTTAGCAGAAATTGCAGGCCAGAGGGAGTGGCACAATATATTCAAACTGTTGAAAGGGGAAAACCTACAACCAAGTATACTCTAACTGGCAAGTCTCCCATTCACATTTTTTTTTTTTTTTTTTTCT